TTGCCTTTCACTAGCTGTTGGGGATTTGCCAGCAATCTTCGGCTGGTGGCTGCACCCGCCAGCCCTCCGTCCCCCCATTGTGTTCTCCCTGCGTCTCTGCCTTCACGTGGCTGTCTTCTCATAAGGACACCTGCCCGGTTGATTTTAAATTCTAGGGATTTACTGGTGTTCCCTTTGTGACCTGCTTATTACAAGTTTTTGTAAATGTTCCATGGATATTTGAAAAAGAATGTGAGTGACCTGTTTTGGGATAGCATGAAGTTTGATACAGATGTGTTAAGTCATGTATTGCATTCAAACCCTTAATATTTCTAGATAATTTTTGTCTTTTTGGTCAAAAATTGAGAGATTAAGGCTAAGTTTCAACTCCATTTGAGGTTTGATAATTAGCCAAGGGGTAATTTGGTAATATCTTGATGCTCTGTTATCTAATACATTCATTATATTAGATTTATATTTGTTAATTTAATTCATTATAATTAAATCATTGTGCATGGTATTATTTATCAATATAAAATAGTCTTTTTTCAAACTCAATATTCACTTTATAATCTACTTTATCAGATAATTATAATACCACTTAACATGTTTTAACAAATATTTTTCCTAGCCGGGCTCGGTGGCTCAGCCTGTAATCCCATGCTTTGGGAGGCTGAGATGAGTGGATGGCCTGAGCCCGCGGGTTCGAGACCCGCCTGGGCAACTTGGCGAGACCTCATCTCTACAATAAATCAAAAAATTAGCTGGGCGTGGTAGCGCGCGCCTGTAGTTCCAGCTACTTGGAAGGCTGAGGTGGAAGGATCGCTGGAGCCCAGCAGGTCAAGGCTGCAGTGGCCAGGAGCGGCCACTGCACTCCAGTCTGGGTGACAGAGTGAGACTCCAACTCAAAAAAAACAAAAAACAAACAAAAAAATTTTTTTCCTAATATATTGTTTTATTCCTTTATTTTTAACTTTATTTTGAGTAGATTTCTTATGAAAATCCAAGAAATATATTTTTTAACCAATATTTAAAACTTTGTCATCTAGTAAGAATTTAACCATTTTTCTCTCTTTTTTATGCTTTCCTGTTATTTTTCATTTTTCTCTTTTTTTTTTAGGCTGGAAATTTTTCTTTGCTTTCTTATCTTAGTGACTTGGAATTTATACAATTAGGTATGATTCTACAATATCCCTTATTTGTTTCCAATATTTGAGCCTATAATTTTCAACAATATTAAGGAAAAAATAGTATTCGTTAGGTATTTTGAAAAGATAGATCGTATTTTTTGTTTGTTTTTTTCCTCTTTCTCTGTCCAAAGCTAGGTTTGACCATGTTTTTAAGGCAGCTCTCATTAGTTTGCTTGCTGGTTGTTTGGTGGTACTGTGTTTTAATGTATACTTTTTTCACTTATTTTATGGGAACTGGAAACTCGGGGGTAAGACAAACGCAGTACAGCAGAAGTAGTATGTGTATACAGGACGTATACATGCCCTTTACCTTGTATTTTTTTAACATCCTCATCTCTTTTTTAGTCCTCATTTAAGATTATCTATATCATACAGTAATTCTTTTCTTCACAATTCATTCATTTAGAGAGTGGATGCTACCTTCCAGTGGGCTTTCTCCATCAGAGACTGAAAGGAAAAGTGACATGGCAGTTTCCTGTTTCCATTGCATGTTACAGTGGCAAATGTCTTCACATACATGTCTCCACTTGAGCTTCATTCTCATTATCTAGATATCAAAACTAAGCTCAGAAGAGTTAGGTTGTTGTCTAATATCCTGAAACACTTAAGACCCACACTCGGTAAGGATGGAGCTGAGCTGAAACTCAAACCCAGGTCATCTAGACTCAAATCTTTTAGCTTTTAGTAGCCTTGTGGTGTAGCTGACTCCGGGAGTGTGCAGAGGTGTCCCTCAGCTATCCCGCGGACCTGCCCAGGACCCCTGCAGGAGAGGAACTGAGTTCTTATTTCTTGATGAACTGCTGCGGTCATCACCTTCTAGTCTCCGAGCTAGAAGGTGTTGTTTCTCTGGCCGGCCAGCAGGTGGTGCCACAGAACCAAGGAATCAGTGGATCCCCTATCCTTGAATTGAAGCTACTAAAGCCAACCCAGATCCTGAGAATTTCAAAAGTAAAAACCAGTATTGGGTGAACCAGCACTCTGAAAATAAAGAGGATGCAGTGTCCAATCATTTGCCAAAACACTTATACGTACATACCCATAGATAGCTGTACCGTATTTATACATCACATTTAAATAGTTTGTCAAAATTCCTTTTTAATCAGTCCAAAGTCCATTTTAACTTCAAGTTAATTGGAAATAGTCAACGTCATCATTTTGTGGCTTTTGGGAACTCACTATTTTCTCTTTGGTGTGTCTCACTTTGTCACCTCATAGAAGGCCTTTGAGAGTTCAGCGTACCTGGGTCTCCCCTTTGCAGGAGTTGGCTGGGTGGCACTCTCCCTGGGGACACTGTGAATGACTCTTTTTGAGGGCAGAGATCACATCTTGCTCCTCTTAGTCTCCAGGACTTTTTTCCATAAATGTGAATGGATTCGAACTCTAAACCCTTAACTCTGCTCCAGTACAGTTTTGAGAGGTAGCAGGTCATGTGACACAGAGGACTGCTCGGGTCTTAATTACGCTGGGTCACAGGATGATAGACTGATGGAGCCCAGTCAGGGAAACTGGAGTGTGTTCCTACCTGCAGTACCCAGGTCATGTGTGTTATCTGTATTGATTGCTTAGTTGGTCACTTGAGATGAACTCCCAACCACACTCGCGTTAGGATCATTATTGTCTAGCTCTGCCTTTAATAATCTTCGTTTTCTGTGATGCTTGAAAGGGGCAGAGGACTGTGTAAAGGAGAGATTTACTAAATGCTATTTAATCCCAAAATAATTTAATACAGGTTTGACTATACATGTTATGATCCCTGAAGATTAGTATAGAATCAGGTAAGTATGAATCACCTGCTGGGTATTCAGAACCGTGGTGAAAAGAAGTACAGGGAAGGCGCAGTGGCTCACACTTATAATTCCAGCATTTTGGGAGGCAGAGGTGGGAGGATCGCTTGAGCCCAGGAGTTTGAGATCAGCATGGGCAACATAACAAGACCTCATCTCTACAAAGAATCAAAAAATTAGTGGGGCGTGGTGGTGCAGGCCTGTTGTCCTAGCTACTTGGGAAGATGAGATGGAGGGATCACCTGAGCCCAGGAGGTCAAGGTAGTAGTGAGCTGTGATCCTGCCACTGCACTCCATCCTTGGCTACAGAGTGAGAC